TCTATCTATCTATCTATCTATCTATCTATCTATCTATCTATCTATCTCTATCTATATCTATATATATCTATCTATCTGCCTTAAGATACCTATCATTCCTTTTTTGCCAAGTTGTCATCTTTTAATTAATATCTTTTTTATCCTTGCAGTTTTCTCTTTCATGTTTTTGCAACATGTTTTGTGTTATTTTTATGGCAGGTACGATGAAGAGGCTGGTCTGTTGATCAGCTTCATCTCTACTTTGATCCTTGCTCTCATAACTTTCATGCTCGTTTCAGCAAGAGATCATTTAAGGCTGACTGATAAATTCTGCTGATATGCCCAGTTCGTCATGTTGCTGCAGACTGGAGGGGAATTACGAAGCAGAAACAACAACATAATCAAGGGTTTAGGGAAAATGAGGGTAGAAAAGCCAACCAACATCAGAAAATGATCAGTCTGGGTTTAGAGCTCATCATAGCACTAAAACAACACTGGTGAAAGTTACTAATGATATTCTCATGGCCTCAGACAATGAACTTGTGTCAATACTAGTCCTGTTAGACCTCAGTGCTGCATTTAATACAGTTAATCACAATATTCTACTACAGACTTGAATGTGATATTGGCATTACAGGAACAGCTTTAAAATGGTCCATATTTATCTGATAAATTCCAGTTTGTAAACGTAAATAATGAAACTTTTTATTACACCAAAGTTAGTCATGGAGTTCCTCAGGGTTCAGTGCTTGGACCAATACTTTTTACCTTATATGCTTCCTTTAGGTAAAGTTATTAAACAGCATGGGATAAGTTTTCATTGTTATGCTGATGATACACAATTATATTTGTCCTTGAAACCCAACAAATCCAATCAGTTACTTAGACTACAAACATGTCTAAAAGGCATAAAAACTTGGATGACCCTTAATTTTCTCCTTTTGAATACAGACAAGACTGATGTTGGACCTGAGCATTTTAGGAATATTTTTTTCAGTCTTTCACCAACTCTGGGTGGCATTAATTTGACCTCCAGGTCTAATGTTAAAAATCTTGGTGTTATTTTTGATCAGGACATGTCTTTTGACCCACACATTAAAAACGTTACCAGAACCGCTTTTTTCCACTTGCATAATATCGCTAAAATTAGAAACATCTCGTAAAAAAAAAAAAGATGCTGAAAAACTGGTTCATGCGTTTATCATGTCTAGGCTGGACTACTGCAATAGTTTATTGTCTGGGTGTCTAAAAAACTTAATTAAAAAGTCTTCAGCTGATCAAAAAGGCTGCTGCCAGGGTTATGGGAGTTGGTAGGAGATAATATTTCTCCCGTTTTAGCTTCTCTCCATTGACTCCCTGTCAAATTCAGAATATAATTTAAAATCCTACTTCTAACCTACAAAGCTCTCAACAACCTAGCTCCATCTTACAAAGTATATTACAGATCTTGTTGTTCCATAGTTTCCTAACAGAGCACTTTGCTCTCAGAAAGCAGGTTTACTTGTGGTTCCTAGAGTCTCCAAAAGCAGAATGGGAGGAAGATCTTTCAGTTATCAGGCTCCTCTCTTGTGGAACCAACTTCCAGTTTCTGTCCGTGAGGCTGACACATTGTCCAGTTTTAAGATTGGGCTTAAGACTTTCCTTTTCGATAAATCCTATAGTTAGGGTTGACTTGGTTTAGTGACCTAGCCCGTAGTTATACTGGTATAGGCTTAGACCACTGGAGGACAAGCCAACCTCATTTCATCACATGAATAGTTACAAATGCATACGAATTAACAGTTTGCATTTGCAATTATTTCTATCTTAACATGTGATTTTTGCCTTTTCTCCTAAATCCTGCTCGCCTCCATTCTGGACCTGCCATTGTGTATCTGTTCCTCCTTCCTGTCCTCTCAAACCCAACCGACCGAAGCAGATGGCCGCTTGTCCTGAGCCTGATTCTGTTGGAGGTTTCGCTCTCATGAGGGAGTTTTTCCTTTCCACTGTTGCCATTGTGCTTGCTCAGGATGGGAGACTGCAGTGCAGTGAAGACTCAAAGTAATCTACTGGCTCCTATAGATAAATAGCATCACTAACTGACTTTATATATGAATGTTTCTGTTCAGTGCCCTGAGACGTCCTCTGTTGTGACGTGGGGCTATACAGATAAACTGAATTGAAATTGAATTGAAAAATGATGGTAAAGAGCATGTTTCATTTAAGCGGGAAGAGGTGAGGAGAATCGTTTGGAAAGTAAATGCAGGTGAGCAGGGAAGCAGAGATCAGGTAACAACATGGAAAGGGTTAAATTCCTCAAGTATTGAGAGTGTCAGACAACAGGTTTCAAGTTGACCAAAATTACCGTTTACAACTTCTCTTCATCGCAATAACATTGTCATCATCTTAAGCTTCCTCTTTATATCCTTATTTTCACTTTAAGTGTGAAAAACAGAAACATTTACTCTTTTTTAACAGTTTTGATCCTTAAAATAATTTATCTATTGAAAGATTGGATTAATTTAGGACAGAATTGCACTGCAGTGAGGTAAACTTCCTGCCTGACGGTTTGCACAGTAGGCTGGTTCCAAATATTAACACTTCACGATTACAACACAAAAACAAACTCCTTTTTATAGTCTGGAAATTCTGCTCGAGAGTAATTATTCGACTTGTAAACGGCCATTTATTAGCAGGAAGGTGTCTTGAAGAATGTGTTGAGGTAGGCGTCTGTCACGGAGCCAGGAGCGACTAACACTCGATTTTGACAGCAGCATCAGAGCCAAGTGGAGTTTTCTGTGACGAGGGGCCAAGTCGAGATGTTTAAGACATGGAGCTGAAAGAGCTGTTTGTTTACGTGAAACTGTACCCCAGCAAAGGAGTCATCTCTGCTGGCAGGAACAAGTAGACAGAGTCACCTAGGTTTTGATTTAGTGGAAATGGAGTCGTATAAATATTTAAGAAGTGCTGGCAGAATTGTTATTGGCTCTAGTGAAAACCAGACTTTTCATTGTGTCTTTTATGCGTACTGTAGGTTAGTTTGACCGTCTTGGCTTATTTAACCCTCAACAGAAAGGTATCCACGTTCGTAATGTTGGAGCTCAATTAATCATTTAAATCCTAACAATGAGGAGTGTTTTGGACAGAAATGATTCATTTAATGGATTCAGCCAACAGAGAAAAACATAAAGATGTCATCTCCAGTTTCACATCGTACAATAAAATGGTATCAAATCTTGTCATTTGTGGAACAAAGGTTATTTTAATTTGGGCATTTTTGCTTAAAGTATCCATCCATGCATCTTTTACCTGCTTCTTCCTTTTTGTGTCACAGGGGTCACTGGTGCCCATGTCCAGCTATCACTGTGCGAGGTGGAGAACACCGTGGACAGGTCTCCAGTCCATCACAGAAACACAGAGACAAACAACCATTCACTCTCTCACTCACACCTAGGGACATTTAGAGTTACCAGTCATCCTAACATGCATGTTTTTGGTCTGTGGGAGGAAACTGGAGTACCTGGAGAAAACCCACGCATGCACGGAGAGAACATGCAAACTCCACCCAGAAAGGACCCTGGCTGGGGGGTTGATCCGGCGACCTTCTCGCTGAGTGGCAACAGCGCATAGCAACTGCGCCACTGTGCCACACTTGCTTAAAGTAGCTAAAATAATGAATAAATTGTCAAAAAGTTGCAACGTCATTAACTATAAAATAAACTGAAGAGCGAGATTTCCTTGAAGAAATGCACGGCTCTTCTTTAAAGGGTGTCTCGGTGTAGACTTCAGCTGAACAGTAGCATTATTTGTCTTTCATTTTAAGTTTGAGGGTTGGAAACTGAAAAAAATATATGAATGAAAAGTCTGAGGAAATACATAAAGTTGAGGATTTTAGTCTTTTTTTATTTTAAATAAAGGATTCCTTTGTGGCTTCCTGAGTTTAAATAGTCTAAACCACCAGATGCACCGATCAAGACAAACTTTTATAACAAACTCTAGCAGCTTTTGCATCATTTCAATTACAGAAGAATGCAAAATAAAAACACTTAAATGTGTCTGTGTTCTACATTCTTTAAACAAGCTTTGCCTAACTAAAAGAAAGGAAAAATAATGGATAACAAAAATGAAGGGAACTGTTACATTTATTATGTATTCTTGTTGAAACTTTGAAGGAAAGTGACACAAGAAAGAAATGACTTTAGTATAGTTTTTTTTATTTTATTTTTTTTATTGGCTGCAGTTTAAAAACTAACACTTGTGTTCCAAGAGTTGTTATTTACCAGCAGTAGGCAGCTAAATGACCAAAAGGCATTTTACTATGTTTGGTTTGGAGGCTGAGCAAAAGAATCCAACCAATTTGGGCTGATTTTAGACACTTTCCAGGCATGTAATCAGCAAATGTCTCCAAATTTGAGACCAAAAGAGACTTCCAGACAAAATGTAAAGACTAAATAACGTGCAGTGGGAAAACCGTGTATGTACGGTAAGTCATTGCATTCAATCATAAAACTTTAAATCAATTCTTGCTCATACAAACACTCAGTCACACCACAGTCCATCTTACGCACACAGTTTTTCATCATGTAAGAAAATCTAAATGTTATTTGTATAAATCACTCTGCTCTGGTTTCTGAATAAACCATCGGAAAAGGAAAAACCATATTGTGACATCTCAGAAGTGCACACTCAGATACTTGCAGTGATGCGTTCAGTGTAAATCTGCCAAATGTCTTTACATTTACTGTATATGAAAAACAAACAGTGAGAAACAAATGGGGACAGAAAACACACAACTCACACAGAAATATATATATATATATATATATAT